GTTTTAAAAAACAAACAACAAAAACAAACAAACAACAACAAAAAAACATACAGTGTACAATAACATTACAACAGTCAAAGAGTTGTTGATGTCACGCTTCCTTTGCACTGTTTCATCTGACTTGTTTTGCATGGACAACTACTCTATGTGTGTGTGTGTGTGTGTGATGTGTGTGTGTGATGTGTGTGTGAGTGTGTGACACCACTGCTTTGTTTTTTTTTTTAAATATTCAGTAAAAAAAGGAAAAAAGAAAATCACATCAAAAACTCATTTAATCACAAAACACATTTAAAATTAAAACTCAGATTTAACTGCTAAAATAAAAAAAACAATAAAAACATAAATTCAACAAATAATTTAATGTATAATATCAGATCATTTTTCAAATATATGGATGTAAACGTTCAAAACACGGATTTCACCGAAAAAACACGAAGGTTGAAGCCGAAGCTTCACGACACCTCGCGACATTTGAAGGCAGAGTTTGCGGGCTTTCAGTCCGTCAGCCAATCAGACGGAGGCTGCGCAGGCGCTCAGCCAATCACAGAGCAGAGACTGTCCGGACGCGCTGCCGCCTGCCGCCTCTGTGCCGCAGCATCTCATTGACTTTGACTGGAGCCGCGCCGCTCCCCGTCGCTCCGCACCGCAGCAGCGTCGTTAGCCGCCTGGCTGCTGCTGCTCTCCGGCTGGGATGTGACAGAGGTGCGGCAGAGACGCCACCGACCAGAACCTCCTCCAGGACCGAACCGGGAGAAGCGGCACCGTTCCGGGTTGAATCGTAAGTGTTTGCTTTGAACGTGATCTCTGTGATTTGACGGTAAAAAGCGGAACCGGAGCGGACGGGCGGCGGCGCGGCGGCCGTGCGGTGCGTCCGACATTGTGTGTTGGTGTCCGGATGAAATCTGCTGCGACTCGACATCCAGCTGGAGCTCAGCGGGAGTCCGAGCAGCTTCAGCCGCAGCACACGTTCGGACACACCGGTAACACGAGCCGAGAGCCCGGTACCGGGAGGAGCGGCGACGCTGCTGCGGCAAACACACCGCAGGCCCGAATATTTACCGCTCCGCTTCTCCTCCTTCACATCCTCCTCTTCATCCTCTTCATCCTCCTCCTCTGTGCATCACAGCTGAGCCTCAGATGTTCCGATCGGTGTCTGTCTCGGTGTTTCTGCCGCTGCTGCTCGTTGATTCGGTGTTTGGGCGAAGCTGCAGCCTGAAGCCTCGTTTCATTAAAGGTCTGCAGACAGAAAATGTCAGAACGAAACAGAACCACAGCGGAATGAGGAACACATGAAGCAGCACACAGGGCTGATAGATGACGGCTCGAGTCCTGCAGGTTCACCTCTGATATTAGGATGATTATATTTAATAATCAGGAGGTTTAAAGACAAACTGACAGAAATCCGTCAAGTTCCATAAAATCAGGCTGCTTAGACTGGAAATACTCAAAATAAAACTCCTTTAGAGCCCGAGTCTGTCACAGCCACATTATTATTATTATTATTATTATTATTATTATTATTATTATTATTATTATTATTGTTATTTAAGCTTTATTGAGTCTTGTTTTAATAGTAATTGTCAAGTAATCCGTTCGTCACAGAAATATAGATTAACTTATTTTCACATTTTACTGTATTGATTGTAATTTTACTCATGAAATCTTTACTGTGTTTAATTTTGTTTTATATCTACAGTATTTTTAAAAAACAAAAAGATTTTCTCATAAATAGCCGTATTTATTTAATTTTATTATTGTGCAGGGTTTTAGATTATCTTATTTTTTAAATTCTATTTTAAATCTCCTTTTAACTGCTTAACATTATTATATTTAATTAAACTATGATTTGTTTTCATACTTTTTGTTTGGATTTTTTTCCTCCAACATTTATGATATTTTTGAAATTATAGTTTTTGGCTGTTTCACTTTTTCTTTTGCTATCTTAGTATATATGATAAAATGTTACGTTCTGTATTATTTTGTTTCACATCTACATCATTTAAATGTTTATTTTTTTTATTTATTTTATTATGTAAGGTTTTATTTTTTACTTCATTCATATATTTTGTTCATTTTCTATATTATTTGTTGTCTGTTTGATTCAGAAATGCCGTTTTATTTTTACTGCGGTTGTATTTTTGAAATGTATTTTATTATCTTTTCCATTTTATTTTTAGTATTTTTTATAAATAGCTTTATTATTATATTTAGAATTAGATTTCAGGTTGAGCGTTTCTGTGCTGTTATTGTGAAGGGCAGCGCTCGGAGCCTCGCGCCTGTTAATCTTTTTCCCAGCATGCTTTGTGTCCACGTCGCTGCTTCCTGTTTATTGTGACCGTGTCCCCGGTGAGTCTGACGGTTTTACGCCGCGGTGTCGCCGCCTCAGCTCGGTGAGTAACCGGCTCCCGGCCCGCTAACAGCCGGTGCCGGTCAGAGAAGCTCCCGCTGTCCAAGCCGCCGAAATCCGGCCAGAAAACAGCCGCTTTTAGAGCAGCTCGCTGCGCGGCGACATCAGCTCGTTTTTCCACCGTTTAAAGAGAATTTTTGAAATAAAATGGCGATTAAATCATTTCGGCCTTGAGACGTGAACAGAACGAAGCTGTAAATGTGGCTGAATGTCCAGTTCAGTGGCGGATGCTGCCGCCAGAAGCCCGCCTTGCCGAGGAGCTCCGCTCCTTAAGTTGGTGATAATGTGAATGAAGTTCTGCCTGTCTGTTTAAGGCGTGACACAGAGCTCGGTTCAGGTAGAACCACCGGCCCGTCCGGTGCCGGGACGCTAAAAACGGAGGTCTGTGAACGGAACGGCGCATTTTATGTTTTCAGGTCAAACTGACGGCGGTCACGTGATCCGACGTCGCTCAGCGGATTGACGGAGGTCAGAGGTCACGTGTCATCTGAAGCGACGTCACAGTGTGCTGACCATATATGGTCGTTTGACGTCGGATAATGAATAAGTAAATAAATAAATGGGCTGCAGGAACTCACCTGCTCAGGTGTTTGCAGCTTCAGGCTCCTCAACCAGAGTCTCTTAGAAAAGTGTTTCCTTTAAAGGGAACCTCCAGGTGCCTCCTGAGCTCAGGTGTGGCACCTGGTGGTGAACAGGGATGTGGCTCCGCCTCCTCGCTGCACATCTGACTCACATTTTATCTCCATTTTTTCTTCTGGCTGTGGTTTCAGGTCTGAGGTTTTCCTTCTGTTCTGCTGTAACGTTCACGTCGGTTCCTGTGGATTCTGCTGAAACTCAGTCCATCAGAACACATTCTTTGTTTTCTGGAGTATTTTTATGAACCAAACAGTCAATAAACTGATGAGCAGCTGATTTAATGGCGTCATCAGCTGCTGTCCAGAACTGATCCAATGCCCTGGTTCAGTCGTGTAGAGAAGGAAACGGGTCGAGTTAAAGAACAGAAAACATCTTCATATTCAACACAGCAATAGAAACATCTAAAGTCCAAAGGATGTGTTCGGAACCAAAACCCAAAGGAACCAAAACAAAATAACAGAACAAAAAGGTCATCTGTTTTGATCAGAACATTCTTCTGGTACCAGAACAGGAACAGGTTGATGATCTGATCAGATTCTGGCTGATTGGTGCATTTATAACTGATCAGTACTGAGCTCAGTCTCGTTTATCTCTGATCGGACTCCTGGTTTGTTCCTCGGTCGGTTCTGTGTGTTCAGGAGCTCTGTATGAGTAGATCCTGGTGTGTTCTGGTTGGAGGTCATCAACCTCCTCAGAGTCTGTGTCCTGGGGCCCGGTGCTGCTGGACTCCCACCATGCTCCACAGAGCATCCTGCCCTCTACCGACATCTGGACAGGGTTCTGTTGGAGCTTCAGAACATTCAGGAACAGACTGGAGGCAGAGATGCAGGTTTTTGTTAATGCATCACAGAGATGTTTAGTTGTTAACAAATATATTTGACAGATCTTATGAAGATAGACTGGTTACCTGTCCAGGTGAACCTGCCCTCGCCCTAAGTCAGCTGGGATAGGCTCCGCCCCCCATGACCCTGGTGAGGATTGAGTGGTGCATAGATAGATAGATCTTATTAACTTACGTCTACTTGGGGTGTGTCTTATCAGGACAATGTTATCAGATTGGGACTTGGCAGATATGAACTATTAAATGACTCAGATCAGGCTGACCAGATGGGCCAACTGGACCAGAACAACCCAAACTTTGACCTTTAATGCTTTAAGTTCTGTCTGACATACTGTTAAAGAAGCCACAGGAGTGTTTCTACTGTACGGTATCAGTACTTCTACTGATTAATTCCAGCCGATTATTCCTCCATGACTGTATCATCCTGGTTTTACTTCTACAATCTACAGTTTCATTCAGCAGATGCTTTTATCCAAAGCGACGTACATCTGAGAGCAGATACAACACCAGCAAGGATCTGGTGAGGAGAAAACAACCTGGATCAGAGCCATAGAACCGGTCCAGGTGTGACAGGGCGCTGATGCCAGTAGCCGGCTGTAGGGAGGTGATAGGAGGTTCTGTTTGTCTTCAGTCTGTCAGGTGCAGAGGTGTTGAGTGAAGAGCTGCTCTTCAGTCTGTTCCTAAAGCCTGAGAGAGAGTCAGCAGGTTTAACAGTTTGGTAACTGGTTCCACCACCGGAACCACAGAGGAGGAGAGTCCAAACGGTTTCAGTGTCTGTAGCTTTAAATGAGCTGCTGCTGGCCCCGCCCCCTTCAGGAAGAAGACTCTCTGGGTGCGTCCCAACACCCAGACTGTATAGTCTACAATAAACGGTGTCAGATTTATTGGGGAATCAGCTGATCATGGGGGAAAGGATGAATGTTGGGGCTGTTTATTGCTGTTTCTCTGTTTCTTCGGTCTGTGATGGTGAGTCTGTCGTGTTCTACAATCCGGATGTTCGGAGCCTGACTGCAGGTTAACGTGGTCTTTCTGCCCCTCAGGCCTCTATCTGCCCTTGCAGCTCTTCGTCGCCCTTGGCCCGGTCCAGTGTTCAGCATGGAGGACTCGGAGGCGGAGCTGGCGGTGTCGGAGTCAGACGCTTTGGGCGCCGACTTCATCACGGTGGAACTGGACACGCAGCCCATCGAGTACGTGGTGAAGTGGGCCGAGGTGGGCTCCAAGTTCACCATCTCCTGCGTGAAGAAGGACTCGGACGAGGCGTCGGAGCTGACGGCCGACCAGCTGAAGATCGAGACGGATGAGGCGTTCTTTGCTCCGTATGAGGAGGTCTATCCCTGCGAGGTGACGGAGCAGAGCGTGGAGATTAAGACGGACTCTGACGACGAGGACGAGGACGCCGACGAGGAGCAGGAGGTTCTGGTGGAGGCGGGAAGCAGCCAGCTGGACGGCGACGCCGACTCGGACCAGGCCGACTTCGAGCCGGATGAGCGTCAGTACCGCTGCAGCTACTGCGGGAAGAGCTACAGCCACGCCTCCAGCCTGTACCGCCACCAGCAGACGCACAGTGGCAAGAGCAGCGCGGCGCCGCCCGCCGCCAAGAGGGCGCTGGAGCCGACGCACCAGGACGCCCGCTACACCTGCCCCCACTGCGGCATGAGCTTCAAAGGCAGCAGGTGAGTGGGCCTCTGTGGGGGGCGGGGCATGTTCACAGGTGATCACGATGAAGTCAGCTTGTGATTGGCTCAGAGAAATGAAACCGTGTTCGAGACTAGAATCTGTCAGTAACACCTGACCAGATCTGAAAACGTCTGTCAGGGTAGCATCTGGACTGAAGAGTCTTTAGGACTCAGACTCTTATTGTGAAAGTACCAACACAGTGGAGATGTCCTTGTTTTGTTCACATCTAGATCAGGATGGGTCACGTCTGGACCGGGTTTGTCTGACAGGCTCATAATAAAACAGGGAGTCTCGGTAGGACGCTTCAGTCCAAATCACACAAACCTGAAGCAGTTTGTGTCGATGATGTTCAGACAGAAACCCGAAGATATGAAAACATCTGAATCATACATTCACACAGAGGCACATATTGCACTGATCAGAGCCGTGAAACAGATCAAAGACCCAGCAGAGCAGAACCAGAATCCACAGATGGACCAGCTGGATGTTCATCAGCAGCTCAGACTGAACTGTGTGATGAAGGAGGAAACAAACAGCTGCTGTAATCTGCAGGTTTACTGTGGGACGACCCTGGTACCGTTAGAGAACTCTGAGAACCTTCATTCAGAGTAAATTCTGGTCTGTTATATAGATGTTGAACATGTAGTGAACATATCCATATTTAACCACATATAAGGCTGATTTTACTGAATGTTTCCGGACAGATGCTGAACTGAACACTGAGCAGAGCAGCGGACGATAACTCATCACGTTACAGCTCCCGTTTTTAAATCAGTGAAGATCAAAGCTGCTCTGAAAGAAACCGAAACGAAATCATCTTTGATCCTCAACAGACTCCCGTTTAATTCATTTAAAGGAAAAAATTCTAAAAACCCATTTCAGCCTCTGTTGGTCTGAATGTTTGTGATGTTTTGTCCTCGTAGATAGATGGAGACAGAACATCAACTATACACACAGGTTTCAGTGGAACTGTTCAGTTCAATTCCTTTTTGTTTGTATAGCGCAGTTTACAACACGTCATCTCACAGCGCTTAACACGGTGAAGTGAAGACCTTGTTTGGGCTGGACCCGAATTTCCAAATAGCCGACTATTTGTTCACTGTGATAGAATCGGGATATCAGGTTTGATCAGATCCAGCCCGACAGTCAGC